TATGTATGTATGTAATGCATGTAATGTACGTCAAACATGTCATTCATGTATGCCATGTATGTAACGCATTTAATGTATGTAATGTATGTAATGCAATGTGTGTAAGTAATGTAATGTAATGTAATGTAATGTAATGTAATGTAATGTAATGTAATGTAATGTAATGTAATGTAATGTAATGTAATGTAATGGAATGTAATGTAATGCAAGGCAATGTAATGTAATGTAATGTAGTGTAATGGAATGTAATGTAATGTAATGCAATGCAATGCAATGTAATGTAATGTAATGTAATGTAATGTAATGTAATGAATGTAATGAATGTAATGAATGTAATGTATGTAATGTAATGTATGTAATGTATTGTATGTGTGTAATCGGCAGAATTATCAACCACTAAGGTTTGCGATATAGTAGTTAGTTACTATGTATATTTATTAATGTGTATGTGTGTGTGGGTGCAACAAGTTCCCATATATCATATGGGGGTTTCCGAAAATAGGGGACCCTAGTATAGTACCCTAAATAGTGGGATCCCTATCATAAGGACCCCAAAATAAGGTACCCTTTATTTTCGGAAACTCCCATATTCCACTTGGAGTAGGGGCCCGGACCCGACGCTGTGCGGCAGCCTGCGCGAGGTTGGAAAGGTGGCTTTGGTCTCGCTTCAGAGTCGTTCAACCTAAGGGTTGGGTTTAGGGTTTAGGGTTTAGGGTTTAGGCCCTAATTCTGCCTGGACCTCAAGAAACCGACATTTCTAGGATTCCTTATGATGATTTCCTTATGTAAGCCCTTGAGGCAGCGTGGGTTATATGTGGCTCAGGTAGACGCAGGGTTCTGCAGCATCGGGTTTGGGCAAAGCAGTCCTCTGAGCTTCCCAATCGTAGGGTTCAGGGTTGCATGCCAAGTTGGGATGGGTCAAGGGTCCTTCCTTCTACGCGCTCCACACATCTCGTGGGGAATGGCCGGCCGGTAAAGACGGAAGCTTCAATTTAAACTAAGCCCCAAACCCTTACCTTTCCCATGCCTTCACCAACATGGTATTCCGGACTCCTTATCAGGCGAAGGAAAAGAGGTGATTAACAAAAAACCCTTACCTTTCCGGCTTTGGATGGAAAGGTTTGTTGCCTCGTAGCCATGCCGGAGGAAAAGCCTGTAGATTTCAAGGCCGAAAGCATAAGCCGCGCACCATCAGCAGCTCTGCCAGGAGCTGCTGATCCAGTTGAGGCGCCGGCCTTTTCCCGGCCTTCTGCGGAGGACAGAGCAGGGGTTTTGGTTTAGGGTTTAGGGTTTAGGGTTTGGGGTTTAGGGTTTAGGGTTTAGGGATTGACAGTCTAGGGATTTGGGGTTTACAAGGTTAGTCTCGGAGTTTAGGTCTTAGGGGTGTCGACCTCGGTCGTGTCTTGAGTGTAACCTGAGGGTTCTCGGGCTGGTTTAGGGGTTCTTGGGGTGTTTCGAACGTAGGGGTTCTGAAGTCAGAATCATCAGTCGTGTTCAATCTGTGCTGCATGAGTCCTTGGGTGTAGAGCTGGGTTGGAAGGTTGTTTCTAGGGCCTAGGCGGGCCTAGGGGTTCACGGTATAAGGTTTTTTTCTTGATTTCCGGGGTTCAATTCGTCGAAGATGGGACTTCGTGGCGCAGGCGTTCGTCGCCGGGACTGCAGTGCACAAGGTCAGAGTTGAAACCCCCAACCCTGAACCCTTATCGTCGGAACTTGATTGAAAGACCTCCGGGTTCCAAATCTTTCAGATCGTAAGATACAGATTGAGAGTTGAACTGGGAAACCCCTGCTAAGCCAACTACATGCCGCCTCCGACAGCTTGAGCTCTTGAGTGAGGAGGCGTGTTTGGGATTGAAACCGGAGCCACGAGCAAACGCCGGGCATGCTTCGGAGCTTTTGCTCAGGAGCAGAACGCCTGTGCAACCAGGTGCAGCCCTCGTGCCCACAGCAACACATCCACGCTTAGGCTCAGCTGTTTTGCAACAGCTAAGTCCTAACATCCTTGAAGCCTGGATGTCCTGCAAAGACAGGAGAGGATGGAAGCCCTTCTTGCCGAACGTGCGCGAGGAGGCAGGGTTCAAGCTTTGATTTCTGCTGTTCGTCGGACCGTACGACAGTAGTGCCAGACGTCCTTTGCGTTGCTGCTGCTGCTACCATTGCCACCGAGCGCAGGAGTAGGAGCAGGGGCAGGAGCAGGAGTAGGAGTCGTAGTCGTAGTCATAGTCGTAGTCGTCGTCGTAGTAGTAGTAGGTAGAAGTAGGAGTAGGAGTAGGAGTAGAAGAATGAGTAGTAGTAGTAGTAGTAGTAGTAGTAGCAGCAGCAGCAGCAGCAGAAGTTGTAGTAGCAGGTAGCAGTAGCAGGTAGCAGTAGCA